TATATATATATGTATTATGTCCAGGCATTTCTGCCGGTCAGTATACGCTTGACATTTTGATTGTCTTATATCTCATGTAGTTGTGTTACATTTTGATTGTTCTACTTATATAATTGCATTATAATTTGTATCATGATAATATGTGTCTGCTTAAATAAAATTACACTATAGAACTTAGATTTATGGTTTGTTCATGTTTACCGAATGCGTCAGAGATTTAGATAAATAATGTAAACATTAAAATATAGGTTAAGACATTAAGATATAGAAGTTAGAATATTGAGATAATGGAACATGATTTACTTAATTGATTTACTTACATGCGACAGTATATAGCAAAAATTTTTTCATATAATTTTGTAATCTTACTTATAAGAAGACACATTATCATAATACATATTATGACGCAACTACATGACATAATGCAATCAAAATTAGTTGTAGACATTCGGAACTTTTCCTCTTGCTGTATGTATGTTTGAATAATAAATGATAAATAACAACTTTTAATATTCTTGTATTATTGTAATAATGAATAATGATAAATTAAACATAATACAGAAAAAGTAAAACAGCATCCTATGAGTATTTGCTATATATGTGGAGAATTTAAGGCTAAAATCTTTACGAGAAATTTAGAAAAAACTGTAATTGTTTGTGTCACCGGTTATTACAAATATAATCATTTACATATAATACACAAAGCAATATGTAGTATTTTAGCTAAAACTAAAAAAAAAGTTATGTCAAAATTTCGGAGAATTATTGCAAGAGTACATAAATGCAAATATAAAGCACAAATTACTTGTTTGACAGGTTTCAGAAATATTGTATCTATCAATTTTTTGTCTTGCGTAAGTTAATTTAAAATTTATTTGTTTTGTTGAAAAATATTTATTTCAGATATATCTTCATATAATACCTCTAACGCTGATATAATAAATGCAACAGAAGAAAATAATAAACGAAAAATTTCAGTAATTATTTGTAATAAAATGCAATGTGTGTTTTATTTTTTTCAAAGAATATCTATTTTTTACTTTGGACAAATTTGAAATTTACTTATTTTTAATGCATATAATGATAAAATTATTGATTTCTGATAATTCTTTATGTAACACATTAATGATATACATGACATGAATAAGATACAAGAAAGTAAAAGAAAAAAATACATTAAATATTTTGTACCAATTTGTTAAATAATGTAGTATGGCTTATCACTTTTATATTACATATTACTTAAAAAATATGATGTAAACGTCATTATTTCCATCGTCTTCCCTATGTGTCATTGTGTGTGCATTCATCAACATACATTACTCTTATGTATCTGACAATAATAAAAAGCAGGCTAGTTATTAACTTATGAAACTTATGATAAAATAATAGTTGTGAAAATAGACAATATTAAAGAAATTCATTTAACAGTATTTAACCATCCTTTCCTAAAACTCTATTAATTGTCAACCGTGTCTTCAGTATTAAGTGTAGATGTCTCAGCAGCAAATATTGGTACGTCCGCACGTGTGCAATGATGAAGATATGTATGGAGACAAGTTTGATAACAACGAAACAAAATTACTGTAGTTTCTGTTTGAAATTGCAAACACAACCTTCGCGGCTTTTTTCAAGTTTTATCTTAATATCTATCTTAAAGTCTATCTTAATGTCTATCTTAATGTCTATTTTAATATCTATCTTAATATATATCTTAATATATATCTTAATATCTATCCTAATATCTATCTGAGTATTTATCTTGATATCTTCTGAAGATGAATAATATACATGCGATAATAAAAAAGTGAAAGCATAGAATATTGAGAGTTTTAATTAACCGTTATTAATAGCTATATTATTTATAAAGTATTCGTTAACTGTAAATTATTAATTAAAGTTGTATACAAAATTTGATTTAAATTTGGAATTAAAACTTTAGAGTTAAATTATGCAACATGTATGATATTTGTTTATTATAATAGTGTCAAAGTCTTACAATTAGTTTATATATTGTTATCAATATATGTTACACTTATATCAATATCATAGTAGATGTTATTAAATAATTAGTTTTACAAGATACAAAAAGAAAATAATAATAAACTTCTGGTATGCAGACGTCCTAACGAAAAATATAATAAGTCTGCTACAGACTTTATAGCATGTGCCAAATGTAAAGGTTTTTTTCGCAAAAACAACTACACGACATCATTCTCGAGCTTGTTTTAAACAGATTTTAGCAAAAAAAGATGCATTATGATTATGGGTAGAAAAGTGACTTGCAGAGTACATCATTTAGCAAATGATACATTAAAAAAAATAGTGTTTCCAGTGATGAGAGAGGATAAAGTAACAAAAATTATACGATACGATGAATTGCTAATATTATATACAAATAAGTTATGTATCAAATATAACGCACAACACCAGCATGACATGATACACGCAAGGTTGCGACTTCTCGGTCAATTCCTTTTAGCATTGAAAGAAATAAATACAAGTGTTGAAGATTTCAAATCACTTTATCATCCGAGAGTATACGACGATTGTATTTCTGCAATCAATATAGTAGCAGGATATGGTGAGGAAAAAAACATTTACAAAACTTCAGCAGTAGCAGTTAATTTATCAACGTTACTTAAAAATGTAGGAAATGTACTAATTACAGAATACATAATGACAGATGATTCAGAAAATAAAAAAAATTTTTTGAAGCTATTAGTGTTATTTTTCTGTCCTGCTCTGATAATGATATGACAAGTAGCAATTAGTATACAAATTTTCATATAATTTCTTGCAGTTTTTGATATCACGAATAAAAACTCGTTCTATCTCTCCTGCCCATCGTTTGTTGACATCAGAACGAGCGATATTCAAATGATGATACTCGAAAGTCATACAAACATTTAAAGAAAGTTAGAACCAAAGCTTATATGGCACTAAAAAAGTCATTTTCTTACGAAAATTGAGTTTCTTTAGTAAAGGCATTGTTGACCTCAGTCCACGTGTTCAACAAACGACGGGCAGGAGAGATAGAGCGAGTGCTTATTAATGATTTTAAAAACTGCGAGAAAATAAATGAAAATATGTATACTAATATTTACACATCATTATCAGAGCAGAACCGAAAAATAGCACAAAATTATAGTAGATTTTGCATAAGAGGCAAATTGAGTCGCACTGTACCCGTATTATTAACGAATAAATTACTTAAATGTATTAATCTGATTTTACAACTTCGTGAAAAAGCTGAAGTGCCGAAGAAAAACCCATATGTTTTTGGATTACCTGGTTATATTAAAAATAGATATCGACATCTAAGGGCCTGCCTTTTAATGCATGCACAAGAATGCAATGCAAATGAATCATCAAGTTTACGGGGTACTATTTTACAAAAACACGTGGCAACTCATTGCATACAATTGAATCTTACTGATCTTGCTACATTTATGGGTCATGCAGAAAAAATACATCGAGAGCATTATAGGCAACCCCTAGCAAGCAGAGATATCCTTAAAATATTGCAATATTTGGAAGCGGTCCAAGGTGTACAAAATTTGAACGAATCTTCATCTGAAAGTAAAAAGAACAAAAAAGATGAAAGACGAAAAGATGGCGAAGATGAGATATTAGGTGAGGTTCTTCAATATTATGTTATATTATATTATCATTTAATCTCGATATAATTCGTAATTATTTAATTTCGATGTTTAATTTTGATACTATTTTGTTACAAGTATTTAGTAATAATGTAATCTCTTTTTACTGTTATATCAGATACCAATACAAGAATAGTGTGTGTCGATGAAAACATACAAAAGGAAGATGTTAATGCACAAAGAAAGAATGGTGATTCTATTGGAAATGATGACTTTCGAATACGTTAGGTGAGTTTCGTAAATATTGTCTAAGTTCGTTACTATTTTGTTAAAATATTTAATAATAATTTATCTTTTTGCCTTGTTTATCAGAGACTAATACAAGAATAAGATGTATCTATGATCATACAACGAGAAAATTGCACAGAGAAAAGTAGACTTTTGGAGAATAATGAAATGTCAATATCTTTAGGAAAGTTTGTTTAAAATTACCTAATTTCATTATTATTTTATAAGTATTTGATATTATCAAAACTCTTGGTCCTTTGCTGTAAACGTTCTTGTTTTAGAGTGTCAAAAGAAAGCGCAAGAATTTTTGAGTTATACAATTATTTGTATCTTTTTATATAAAGATACCCACAAAATGACATTTGATTGATTCAAAATATTTGCAAATTTCGGAACATTTTATACTTTATGAATCACCAAATAATCGCAAAATTAATATTGACAGAAGTATGAAAAAAAGTCAAATTAAAAAGGAAAGTTTTATATTCCATAATTTTGTGATTATTCATTAAGTAAGAGAAAAATATTTACATAATTTTATAAACAAATTTTGAATTAATCACAATGTCAGATTGTCAATACATATTTTTATCTTAACTTATAACGCAAGAATTCTTGATGTGTGTTTTCTTACTGTTAGTTCTGAAGATATTTGAATCATTGTTTTTTAAAGCTTAGATCCCTCGTTGCAACCGTTTTGATCTATGTGACATCGCTGACATATTATAATTTTAAATTTTGTTTTCTGTAGGTTATAAATTTTTTGCAAGTAAATATCTACAAATTATTATTTCAGATCTTGTAAGACATTACTGTCTCTACCTCCTTCTTCATTCTTCATTCTTTATTCAAAGAGCAAATACCTAAAAAATACAGAAAATATTTAAAAAATGAACAATTTAACTATAAAACACAGATTTGTCAAACAAAGATCAATCACTTTTATAATCTTTTTCCGCGATGTCAGCAAAGAATTTGCATAAAAAATTTGCATGTGTTGAAAAAAATTCTGACAATATTAGACTTATTAACCGCATCAGCAAAACACAATGTCCATAAATGGATCAATCAAGTATTTATATAGAAAAATCTTTGATAAGTGAATAAAATTTACTTTTTCTAATTGTTCTTTCAACATTCAAATGTTTTGTACATATTTTATAAGCTTATAAAAAGAAATTCTTCATCTTGCAACATATATGTATATATTAAAGCTTTTTCCCTAGAAAAATATGTTAGTGCTTTAATGAACCTAATTAGGAATAGTGATAATCTTAATATTAGATGGACAAAGCTTATCTATATAAAAATTTTATCTCCATCGTATGTTTGTAATATTTATATATGTATATATTAGCTCTTATTTTTATTAGAAATTCTTATTAAAAACTTTTATTAGAAAAATTTTTTAAAATTTTATTTTTTATGGAATTACATAGTTCCATAGATGTAAATGTACAATTTTATATGTACAATTTGACTATTACAGAAACCTTAAGCAAAACTCAAAATAATATAAATAAATAAAATATCAATAAAACATTAATCCGTACCTTATTCCAGTTTGAAAGATATTTTATTATATTTAATTTTACCGATGAATTTATATATAATAACATTCTATGCAGACTAACTTATATTCTTTTTATATTCTACATAAAAAAACAATCTCTATTTGATAAATAATATTTGACATAAAGAGAAAAAAAATATATTGATTCTATTCGCAAGTAAGTTTAAAAATATAATAGTGCATATATAATTATATATATAATAATATATATCAATTGCGTAAAAATAAGAAAATTTGCTAAATTAAGAATTTGATTTAGCTGGGAATAGTGATATAATGATGCTTACGTTTGAGTTGTATGTATTTCCTAATTTTATTACATACATACTTTCTCACAAGACGACAAGATGTTCGCAGATATATTTCTTATCATATATTTATAGAAATCAACAATTTATTTTTGTTGTTACATCAAATCCTTCCTTGGAATATAATAACCTCTGTTTAATAGTGGGCTTTTCTTATGGTGCCTGCACTTTGTACACACGGAAACTTCTTCCTTCTTTTTATGAGACTTCACCTCTTATTACGTCTATTATTCGGCATCTTCAGACGAGACGTCACAAAATTCTGATACTGAAAGGATCACGTTTCAAAAAATAAAGGACAAAGCCAGCATGTCCACACACATCCGACCATGATTATGGCCTTGTATAATAAGGAGTAAAAAGCGGAAACGCTCGCCACGTGACAAGCAACATCGGCCGCATTGATGCCATACGGGTCGCGTTTTTCGCCGCATGCGCGACGAACGCGGCCTCAATAAAGTTACGTTTACATGGGCCATATTTTCCGCGTAAACCATAGCGCATGCGCATATGGCTTCTGCCTTCTGCTTATGGCTCCTGCAATTTTATGTGCTTCCACCTTAAGGGTGCCGTCCCATGCAGGACGGAATTTCGGAAAACGAAATCTCGAAATTATTCTGATTGGTTAGCCCCATGGGGCACAGTACAAGCTTCATGGGGCTAACCAATCAGAATGATTCCGAGATTCCGTTTTTCGAAATTCCGTCCTGCATGGGACGGCACCCTAACGCGTATCGCGTAACCAATCATATCGTTCATTCTTTTAGAATGTTAGAGTCCTTAGAAGTAAGA